TATTTTTCAATAAACCTTTTCTTTTTAATTATCATTTCCTTTTCAGTTTCTTAATTTCTGCTCACATACTACTATAAGATTAAGAAACAAATATAAATTTGGTATGAAAAAATTTTATCACTTCTTTTTAATTTTTCGTTAGAGTAAAAAGCCACATCTTCAAGCATTATTATATTTGCATCTTTGACTTTGCTTCTTTAGTTGATTCCACTTTGCACATTTCATCAATATCTTAAAGTATCGTAATCATAAAATTTAAATCATATTAAAAAAGTTTGATAAAATTTAAAGATAAGAATGTATTATTTACATATTCATCTTTTTTATTAGCTTTTATTTGGAATATTACGGCTGCAATATTTGCAACAAAGTTATATCTAATTTTTGATCATATTTTCATGAATATAAAATGTTGCTGCTAATGCAAGCATAATTTTAAGGATAACTTTCTTTTTTAAGCTGTTACTATGTTCTAATAAAAAGAATAGGAGATAGCTAAGATAAACAAGCAAAAGTAATAACTAACTGTAACTTAATTTTTCTAAATAAAAGAATTTCTGTAGGGAAAAAATAAATATATTCTTATTAACGTAAAGGTTGGATTAAGCCTGGCAAGCAGCTTGTTATCAATAAAAATTTTCAAGAGAATTTGAGTTTTTACTGGAGAGCCAACAGCTAATTACAGTTTGAAGTTGTAAAATAGCAGTTTGAAAAACTGCTCTAAGATGACAAGATTTAAGGAGAAAAATCATACATAAAAAATAAAAATTTAAAATTTTCAACTTGGACTTTTTAGAAATTTTAATTAAATAAAACCACGTTCTTGAAGAAATAACTAAAATTTTGCCACTTTTCAGAGTTGCAGTCATTTTTTTTCAATAAATTTTTCGAATTCACAAAAAGACTGAAAAAACTGTGTTTTTCGAATGACATGCAATTATTGGAAATGTAAATCAGTCGCACTTAAATCTTATAGCTTTTCAGCTTTTTAAAACGTACAGTGTAAAAGTTAACTTTCTGACAATAAATTTTAAATGAGGTTGATTCTTACTCTTAACTTCTTTTCAATGCATACCGAAAGATCTGAGTCGTTGAAAAAAAAAATGACTATCGAGAGAAGTTTGCTTTCGTCTGATTATCTTTAAAGTATTATGTCAAGCTGTCAGTTATTGTTGATCACAGCTCAATAACATAAGCAAAAAGCCTCATAAGTGCTACTGCTGCTGTAGTATTTCCCTTCTTAACTACATTCGCATTTGCAAGTTTGACTTTAGTTAGTGGATGAATTCGTCATTTTCCGCAGGGTATAAAAAGAGATTCTTTCATCTATCTTTCGATTAGCCTTCGTTTAATTTTAATCTCTAAGCTTTCTTTATCCAAAATTGCAAACAAAATAGCCTCCAACTTTAGATATAAATCAACAATTTATATACAGTATTGTAAAAATTATCATGAACTTTGACAGTGAGTAATGCACATAAAGATGGATTGTGAAGGAATAATTTACACCTCAATTATACTCTTGCAATATATGATCTGCTCTGGTGAAAAGACTAATTATTTAGCCATTAGGGACTCAACCGTAAAGACTCGTGAGCTTTCTTACTTCCTTTTACTTATTTGAAACTAGCGATGCGAAGAATAAGAAGTATAGTCGAAAGCAGTGACCAAAAATGAAAAAATATTTTATTTGTTATTACTGATTTTGAAAATTTTTTATTTGTTATAAGAGTAAGAAGAAAATAAAAGAGGGCTTTATTAACTCAGAATTTCCTCAATTTTAGCAAATATTTGAGATAATAAATTACACTTGATAAGCTATTTCTCAAGCATTATTTCTGTGTTTAAAAATGCAAAATGCTAATGTTTGAATAAATTTAGATGTTTGCCACTTACTGAATTATCATTTTCTCTTTCTTATCCACTCATTGTATTAATGCAATTTATGCTAAATATTTAACAAAAATAATAATGCAATTACATTTTTCATTATTATGTTAAATAGCTATAATGACTGATTACGGAGAAATTTCATTCTTCGCTCCATTATTTTTGAACTAACAGTGTTGATGTCTTTGTGTTATAATTGGTAATAAATATTCATGGAAATATTGATACTGTCTCCTTCAATGAAGACTTCAGTTGCTTAATCCAAACTTTATGCATTTCTAGTAAATTTTTACTTCTTGGACTAAATAAAATCTGAAGCGGTCTTATTTTAATTTAAATGTGAATAAAAATCTGTACTTCCATGCAAGGACTCATTCCCAGAAAGCTTATAAAATTCTATTTCCTTTATTTTAATTATGTCTTAGCAATATAAACTGGATTCCACACAATATGAAGACTGAAAAATAATTTCCTAGGGCTTCATTTACATATTTATTGAATGTAAATTTTGGAATAGAAATTTCAATAACCATTAATATTTTTTTAAATTTGCATAAATTTGTAAACTAAAGATATTTAACCATTTATTACAAAACTTCTATGTCCAACTGACAACATGCTCAATAAACAACTTTTTTGTGGAATTCTGTATTTCATTTCTCTTACATATTTTTTGCCGATTTTAACATTTCATTGATTGTTGCTCTTTTCGATCAATATTTAAACAAAGATCATTCTGATAGTACTAAAATTTCAATATTTAATGATTATTTAAATAATTAGGAAAAGTGAGTAAAAGTTGAAACAAAACTATTATTTTGTAGTTTCAATCTTAATATGAAGATTAAGTAATTAATGTAACAGAATTGTATTGTAAAATTAACAGAATACTGATAAACTCTATAGCAATAAGAGTACATCAACGTTGAAATATTTATTTTAAGCTTGAATCAAAATGATGCAAGCAGTATAAGTGAGTAGACATTGCTTCTAAAATATTCGTATTAAATTGTACTGGCTTAAAATATCTAAGGAAGAATTGTGAATAAATGTACTTTTTATTGAAATCGGTAAATCACTTTCTTCGGAAACGATAATTGATGAAGTCGACTTAAAATATTTTCTTCAATTTTTTTTGCCTTCTTTGTTTTGAATGAAAAGATTCTTTATTTCTGTTTCATCCTTTTTTTTAAATTGTTACCTATGGAAAAATAATTAATTTTGAATTTGGCCGCAAAAATTTTGTGAGCACAGCATTGCCATCTAAATTCGCTAGCATATTAAATCATTTTTGAATTTATTTATTTATGTTAACACATATTACAAAAATTAAAATCTCTAAGTCCACTTTTCGTTGTAAAATCGTTTTATTTGATCGAAGTTATTGTTTTGAATTAAAATCATAAATAGATCCAAAAAATAAGTCTGCAGAGTTATTGATTGTTATTTATTATTTGCAATTTTTTAAATCATGACAAAATAACTTTTCAATTAGGAGTTATTTCAAGAACTGAATTTGTCTACTGAAAACCGATCAACCCGATTTTCAAAAAGTTTGCTTTACCAGTATTCTATTTTTAAAATTTAGTAACCGAATTACTTTTAGAATGAAGAAAATAATATGTAGTGTAAAATTGCCTGGTATTATAATATCTCATATTAATTAAATAGTGAATATGAATCGACTAGTCAGTGATGATACAGTCAACACCAAAAAGTATTGAATAATATTCATTTTTTACAAATTAATTTTTAGTTCTGCTCCATATGGAAGAAACACAATTTAATTGAAAGATAAAGACCCCATTACTTTAGATTTATCATGGTTTTAACCGCAAAAAAAGAATATTTCTTTTGGAAGCTGAACACAGAAATGCCCTTTCAGATTCTTTGCAAACAATTTTTTCGATTGTAATATTGAACTTTTCCATTCTAATTTTATCCATATCAACTGCTATAATTTTTAAAGTTAAGTTAATGAAGGCAAAATTAGATTATAAAATTAAATCAAACTTAGTGCAGTAGAAAAAAGCAAACATTCCATTTCCATCATCTTTTTTTTCCAAAAATAAACTCAAAAATAAGACTTAAAGCAGTAGGAATCAGAAACAGATGCATAACATATAGCATCCACCATATTGGTCGATAAAATTTGAAATGATGAAGCTTTCAAAAAGCAGCAATTGACTGTCACAAATTATCATTCTTATTGCTTAACTGCTTATTTGTTGACTTGAATAGAGGAAATTTTAAATTTATTTTCTCTAAATACTGAGCGAACAGATAATAAACGTGAGAGATCAGTGTGAAGAACCGATTGAGACAGTAATTATATTCCAATTAAATATTACTGCTCATTGCAGCAGAAGTGTAGTGATTTATTTTACAAACCTCTCAAACAAACATTTAAATAAATTACTTGTTAGTATATAAACAAGCAGAAAAGCATCATTTTATCAAAGTTTCTAATGATTTTTAGACGCTTTTGAAGTACAAAAATTGCAAAATCTATTTACTTTCTATTTTCTTATTCATTTAACTTCTAATCTTTCATTAAAATTCGTTTTATTATAAGTTATTAGTTGTAAATTAAAGAAATTTTTGAGTAAAGTTCATAAATTTATTAAGAATATTTGCAGGTTTGTACAAATTACACCTTAATATAAACGTACTGAGTTATTTTCTCTAGGATTTCCTGCATCCATAATAATTAAAACTTCAAAACTTCATGTGGCGCCTTCAGCGTTGAAATTCTAGTTTCATTTCTTTTTAACACTCAAAATAACATTTGCTTGCAGTATACTATGACAAAACATTTTGCTTTTACAGAATTTGTAAATAATAAAAGTCATTCTGCAGATAACGAAAGGTGAGATTATATAATTTTATTTTATTCTGTTCTTATATTTGCAAAAGTTACATTTTTATCATTTTTGTTCATACCATAATTTAAAAAAAAATCAATTTCAATACTAAAAATTTTTAAATGAATAAAATTTTCAATATAAAATTTAAATACATAAAAAATGGATAATAGCGATATTTATTATTGTAGGCTATTTGAAAATAATACGTCATTTCTTCTATTGTTTTTGTTCTACTTTATAAAAATGGTCATTTTTGCGTGCTCATATTTTCTAAATATTTCTAGAACATGGGAAGAAAGAAGGGATGATATAATTGTTGTAACAGTATGGCTTGTAATGCTTTGCTATGCACTTGCTTCTAATATTTTGATCTTAATTGGTATTGCACGAAACAGTTCTATGCGATGCTCAACGAGGTATTTTTATTTTTTTCTTCTTCTTCTTATTATTATTTTTTATTGTCACAAAAAACAATAATAATAGTTACTTTCTAAGTATTAATGTGAATTGTTATTTTATGTTTGTATTTTATGCTTCAAACTCAATTTGCTCTACTAATTATAGTATTTCCTTTATGAATATTTTGAATTCATTAAAAAAATTCTGCTAGCGTAAGTAAAATATCATCATATTTTGTATTTAAGATTGCTTACTTAATAAGTTTGAATGTTTGTTCTTTCTTAATTCCAAATCTTTAAAAAAAACTGTAATTCTGAGCATTAATATCTCAAAGGAAAGTTGTAAGACTCATTAAAAAGTTTTCAAATTGTGGCAAACTATTGACATCAGTAATGCTGAACTGAAAAAATTGATTTCATGTAGTATGCAAACGATTATAAATGAAGCAGATATGAATAGATTCTCCTAATTCTCAGATAAAATGGAATAATTGGGAAAGAAATGTTAATATTTCATTTTCTGTTAAAATATGGTTTTCCATCTTTAATTTAAATTTTTAAATATTTTAGAAGATAGCTAATCATTGAACAGAAATGTCTGAATGAGATGAGTGTTAATTTTTGCGAACATTTATCAATAATTCGAATTTCAAAAAAAGAAAATTTTAGGATTTTTGTATTTTGCATATTTATAGTTTTTTATTCTCAGCTAAATAATTTTTTTGATATACTTTTTATGAAAAGTTACATTCGTTCTTTTTCGTGGGAAATGGTAAAAAGTTGAGATTATGCAGACTTTTTAATATATATATATAGTTTATTTTGAATGCTTCATATTTATGCAAAAAAGCAATGAAAATTATACATGAACAGTATAAAATTAATGACAGTGATTTTTGTCTTTATGAAGTATTGCTTGATCGTTTCTATATTTTTTAAAGGATTTTTTTTCATTGGTGAAGTAGCTTAAAATGATAAAATAATAGTTTTTGTATAACATTTGTACTTTTACTAATAGTTTAACATTTAAAAATCGTTATTAGAGGATTTAAAAAAATTACTTCTAGTAGGATTCATAACTATCCCACTTTTATTGAGTTTTTGATTATTTTTCATATTTTACGATTGTTTGATTTCGCAGTATTCTCAGTCGCATAATGCTGAACTTCCTTGAGAGATGATCTTTGATTATCAATTAATTTCCGATATTTGCTTGATTTTTTAATCAAATATTAGAATATGTAGCACTAAAATTTAATGCTATAGATTTTCACAAAATTCATAAACTGTATGACATGATTAAAAAACAAAGTTTTCTCAAGTAAGTGTTTGTTTTGAGAATCTTTTTTTTTTTTACTTATCGGACAAAATCTAATCATCCAAGAAAGTTTTTTTATGTCATCAAAATCGAGGCCTTACCAAAACTAGAAAGAACATTTCATTTTTATATTACCACTTGTTTCTAAGAATAACTTACTTTTTCATTTCATACTGTTTTAATTGAAGATGAGAAGGCATGAAATTGGATTTCAATTCATCCACAAAAAATTTGAGAGTCATTTGAAGGATACATGAAAAGTTCGTCTGAAAGTTGTAACAAGTAAAAGCTTTTAATGGATGCCATAAACTATGCAAATCATTTTAGTTACTATTATGTCTGGATATTATGAAAAAAAATTTTTTGGTGTAATTTATAAGGTAAGAATGAAAATTTGATGCATGTTAAAGACATAAAAACCCTTATTTCAGTTGATAAATTAGCAATTTTATAGCAGTTACTTAATCACCAAAAATCCAGTTCATTTTAAAAAGAATTTTGCTTCCATCTAACAAATATATATTAAGTTAGAAAATGAGAAGAATCAGATTTTAATTTTAAATTAAGCTATCACAAAACGAATTTCAAAATGTCTTCATTAAGTTACAGATTTTTAGATTCCTGACTTATCCCTAATATCTATACAAATTCATCACCTATAATATTTGTTTAAAAAAGATTATATTTACGTAAATTTCTATTTCAAATGTAAGATATGTGTAGATAAATCTGTAACGTCGTATTTTTTTATTCATTAAGATTGCAGTCTTATGATGGTAAAAGAAAAAAAAAACTCTTTTCCAGTATAATTTTTTTTCTCACATTCTTTTGAATATTTTCACAAGTGTATACTTTTTTGACCTTGCAAGCTTTAGGGATCATTAATTGATAATAATTTACTACTAATATTCAGTTATTGGTTCATCACATCATTGTCTATCTGCGATATAGTTATGGTTGTCATAAGCTTGACTCATCTTGTGCCTGCTATCGCATTCCATGATGCCTTCCTGGATTTTCATTCCATTCGTAATATTTTAATGATATTCTTATACGATCTTTTTTGGTATACTGCTGTCCTGCAATTAGGGCTTATGGCACTTAACAGGTTTGCTATTTATGGAAAATTTTTGAGATAGCAAAGATTGATCAAGAAAATAGATTGCATCAAGTATGCTCTACTTAAAAGAATTACAAATTTTTGCTAACATATTATCATTAGTATTTATGAATGAAAGAATGTTTTGTAACAATTTTTTCATATTAAATTGTCACTAATTAACTTGATTCTGTTTAGTAATCCTTACTTTAAGATTCAAGTAAGTTATTACTTATGATTTTCTCTTTACAACATTAATATTATGCTACAAACATAATTTTCAGATTTGTAAGTATAGTTTATCCTATGAAATACAAGTGGTTATTTTCGCCACCCAAAGCACTATTTTTAATATTGTCTGGGTATTTTTTGGGCTTTGCTGCATCCCTACCAACATTATTTCCTTGTTGTCACACATTATGGAATTCTGATTATTATATCACAGTCTACGACCCTATGGATACTTGGTACTACAAATATATTCCGCTAATTTATAATTAGAGTGAGCTTATACAAATAAAAATAACTGTTATCAAAATTAGGATAATATTAGTAGCTTTAATTGTCTTGGACTGCAAGATTCCTTGAAACTTGAAAGACAGATCAATATTTTTTACAGTGTATTAGTATTAAGAGTGGGAAGTACTAAAGTAAAATTTTTTAATATTATGTAAATTATCCAGAATATTGTTTCAGTAATAAAAATGGGCAAGAAGAATTAATAACAAAAGTATTACTGCTGCATGTGAGAGTAAAATAGTGGAGGAAATTAAAATCAAAATTTTGGTTTACTACGACTGAATAAGAGAGGTCCTTACTTTAAATACTAGATGTTACCAGAAATGTAATGTAATATTATCATATAGAAATGTTAAATGCATAGCAGGTAGTGCCATTTACAAATGAAATATTTTGAAAGTGAATACTAACTTTTTTATCAAGCATTAGAAACTTGCAGTAATCACAGAACTTCTTTCTGTTAACAGAAAATCATAAAGACAAAGTAGATAGATTGATACTTTTTTAGCTGATTGAAAATTATTCAAAATTGAAATGCAACAGAGAATAAGTAAGGCACGAGCAAAGCAGATTGAAAAAATTTTTTGCCGGATTAACCAAAATAAACATTTACGAGTATCATTGATTAATACTTTATGTTGATTAGGAGTGATTTTGGATGGATGATTAATTTACATTGATAATTTTTGACAAAATATTTAATTTCAAAAAAACGAATAATTTGGAATTTTAATATTATGTCAAAAAATAATAACTCTAAGATGGATAAAAATAATTGCACTGATAAAGGGAGTAAAAGATGAATAAGGCTTTATTCGGTATTGTCTGCTAAAGTTTGGCACAGAAGTCATCATTATTTAGAGTAAAAAGCATATTACAAACTACAATAAATTTTTATAACGATAAAGCAGTAAAAAATGAGAATTGCATGCATTTCCTTAGTATTATTTTCTAAAGTTATGTTATATATTTCGTTTTTTGAGTAATTATTATTTTGCGTTCGAAATGTCTCAGCTGAGTAGAAGAATTTTTATTGTGCTAATGATCATAACTTATAAGGAATAAGCAATGATAATTAGCACAACAAAAATTGATCATTAGCACAACAAAAAAGCATATTTATAAGGAATAAATTATGAGGGATAATTGGTAATTTTATTGTAAGCTATAACCATAAAGTACTGCTTTCTTAACATTCAAAACTTCATTGTCATGCTTTTGTATTGTTATTTGAATGTTAATAAAACTGAAAGTTAATGTATATTTGAAGTTAAAAGGTCAATTTTAGGTATAAATATGTAGACATGAGTGTCAACAGTCTATCCTTACTTGTCATGATTGTTTCTTATGGGATAATCATTTGTAAAGTACGAGAAAGCAGTCAAGCAATGGCTAGGTATCAATGTATCATGCGCCGAAATGTTAGTGTTCTCCTGTAACTTTTCTTCATAATCGTTTTTAGAATACTTGTCTTCAACTTGAACATATTGAAGTGTTGATGTTGTAGAAAAATTGTTTAGATTTCAGGAAATCTACTAAAAATCTCAGTTTATGTAAAATTCGTATGTTGAATTTGTACCATTTCTAGGCCAAAATTTTAAGCATGTATTAATTAGCAATTTCCTTCTTGATTACAGATCAGGAATAGTCGCTTGCAATATAACGAGCCTTATCAGCTATCAAACATCGCGAGATTACCAAGGAGACAAATTAGTAAAAAAGAAATGAGACTATTTTTACAAGTGAGAGGAAGTCAAGTTTATTTTAATTTTTGTAGATATTATTAATTTGAAAAATAGATTGATCACACATACTACAGGCTAGATTTGCTTTTTGTTTTAAATGTATTTTAGTTTTTTTTGGTCTCGTTGGTATTCTTAGTAACTTGGACAACATGGCAATGGCTTCCATACATGTCAGAATCAAAATGGGCTTATTTTATCATGACCTCCTTATTCTTTATCAATAATTCAATCAATCCAACCATATATTTGCTCTTCAATACTCAGGTTTTCCTCCGTATAAAACATTAATTTTTTTAAAGAAAAAAGGAAGCATATACTTAAATATTGAATTAAATTATAACAGTTTGTAAAAAATAATCGTGACTTTAATCTAAAAAATTGCTTTTCAGTTAAGACGTGAATTAAGTCGCATGTTGTGTACTTCAAATAATAACGCAGTTTCATCAACAGATCGTAGACAAACTACACCCACATCTTTCAAGCTGCTCAACTTTAAAAATTATGATTTATCACGAAACAATGACAACGTCAGTCAACGTGGACATCTATCTCAGTAACATGAAATAAACAATAAACATTAACATCAATCTCATATCAATATTAGGTCTACAAAACCATACTTCTAATGAGTTAAACCTCAGCTCTAATATCGATGTAAATAAAATTACCACTTCACATAGCGGTACAGATACCACAGCGCCAACAGGAAACTCAGAGAAACTGTATCGACGATTATCTACAAACAACAATCAAGTCATTATCGTCTAAAATGATTTTGATATGTTCGATTTTAAAACTTGATTTACCAAATGTCATTCCACTATATTCTTGTTTCTCTCATTTTAATAAATATTTACTTGCTTATAAATTTGTTTAAGAGTGTTTCTCTTAAACAATCGGAAATTTCAGCATTGCCTTGGGAAACTTTCAAGTTGAATAACTCATCTTCAAATCTCACTATTCATCAAGTTTACTCTTGATTCTGTAAGAACAAACCTTCTATTCTCATTTAATGAATTAAAAATGTAGAGAAATGAATGAGACAACTAAATTTTATTTAAAAATTTCCTGTATTCTACAAAAACATTCTCAACTGTGATTCCATCACAAAATTCCAATAATGCATAGTAGTGAAGGCAAGCGAATTTACAATGCGTTCAAGCCTTATTTATATAATGCATTAAAACATTTGATCGTGGAAAACTTTTCATTTTATTATTTCCACATCTCAATTCTACTTTTGATAATATGTCGATGACTCAATTCAACGAAAACATTGAATTCCTCAGAATATGATGGGGAATACGATTAGGAACTTTATGAGGATTAATAAGTAGATAACTTATAATAACAACAAAATCCAAGTAACATAAGTTGATGAAAGCACCTCCTCAAATCACATATGAATGAATACTAAGCAAGCAGAATTTTTTTAAGAAGATATCTAAGAAAAAGTATATTTAAAGAGAAATTTTAACGAATATTACAGAAAATGAAAGCGCGTAAAGATTTCATGTATTAGAATGAGTCAAAATTACGAGATATTTCAACTTGGGCAGATTTGGCGCCAAGAAGTAACACCTTATAATACTAATTAAAAAAAGCATCAAGAGAAATGTCAATACTGTATACATGTTTAATTTTTGTTTCCTTGCTCTACGCTCCACAAAAATACTGGAGAGTTGGTGAGAGCAAATATGATATTAAAATATAAACATGAGTAATTGAGTAAGCGAAGCAGAACTGAAAGTCAGCGAAAATACAGTTTAATACAAGACTATCCCTTATTACTGTAATTACTATTTTGTGCGAAAAATTTTGGACACAACATTTACTCTATAAAAGTGTTCAATTGGAACGAGCTGATTTTGTAAATCTTCAAAAATTTTGAATTGTTAAATCAACATATGAGACAGACTAGAAAGGATAGGAAACAAGCCGATACTCAAATCCTAGTAAGATACTCTATAACAGTACACATTTTAAATCAGAATCAAATATGTTTTATGGCGGACTAAAAGCCAAAAACGCCTAATATTACCAATGCAGACAGAAAATTTTTTGTGAGAAGTACATTGCACAAATTATATATATAACAGATTCCATAAACAATTTCAAAGTTGTAGATGTTATCTTTTTCAATACAAAATAGCTTTTAACCTATGTTTATAAATTATTACCCGTATGTTTTTGAACAATTTATGATAAAGAAAAACTGAAACAACAAATCTCATACAGAGATCCTCCATAATTTAACTTTTTTATGATTCATTCCGGTTTATACTATGCTAATTAATGACGTTATACTTGAGAAAGCAAAATCGCAATTGCCAATAAATTATTAAACAACTGGCTCAACAATATTCCGCTCATCATTCATATATGTTGTACTCGTGATTCTATAGCATACTTCAAACGCTTGTCCTAATGTTATTATTATTTCAGTGGCCACATCCTACAAAAAGTTTTTTTGATTTCAATGTTTTTCATAGTTAATAGAAATCCCCAAGTCTTTTCAAGTACTATGCATGAAATATGCATTCAAAATGATCAGACTCTAGGCTTACATTGAATTCCAAAGCAATAAAAACTTTATTTTTACTCTTAAAACCCTTAACAACTTACAGCAGTTAGCACACAAAATACGTGACAGAAATGCCGATCTCCATCTTGAGATATGTAAGCAAAACAATTTAAATCTCTCTCGTCTTGGCAAACTATCTGGATCTGGGTTATTTCATGTTCGACAGTAAGTTGCTGTAAAAAGAGGATTAAAATATTTTCTCCTTCATAATTCAAAAACTCCTGCAGCTTATCAGTGAACAAGAAATCAAAAACCTTTGTGACAGCATCAAGTACCCGCACTCCTGATACTGAGATTTCGAGTAATACATGAGGAACCTTAGCTATTTCACGAATACCTTTCTGAAAAAATCACTCTGAACGCATTACTCAAAAAAAAAAAGTTCAATGCAAAAAAGAAAAATTAATTTTGCACCATATTTGATATAGCATCCTACTTTTAGTTTAATCATAGCTCGGCGAGAATCTTCTGTTCCTTCAATATTTGATATTTCCATTGATCCAAGATAATGAGCAGAATATGATACACAATCCTCAATAAGTGTCGTTGATGAATGTTGCCATTCAGTTTGATGCTCTCCAACAACCATTGACTGCGGCAAATGAATACTTGACGACGAATGAGCCGTACTCCTAAATTTCCGCAGCTTATTTCCCAAACTAAAAACACCTGACAGTTCCAAAAACAGAGATTAAAAAAACAACACAAAATTGTTTAATATTTGTTAAGGAGACCAATCCAAAAGTTTTAGAAATTCATTACTGAATAAGTACCTGCTTTCTTGCCCACTATCAGTTTCTTCTTCTTGTGCTACTGCTGCAGCCCGTTGTTCTGCTGCCCTTTGACGTCTTTCCTCCTTTGCTTTTTTTAAAGAATTCAAAATTCTTTTTTGATGACCCAGTTTTGTTATTCCTAATACCTTGAAAACAAAACACATTAAACAAAGAATGAAACGCTTCATTACAGTTTTTCATTTAAATTCAACTATCAGTACAGCTTACTTTTAAATGCTTCCGGGTCGAATCAATAGCAAAGACGATTAACATCGTTGTTAACCCACCACTTACAAAATGACCAAGATAGTCCTCCAAATCCAACGAATGCAACCAATCAGAAACATATGTAAATGAATCTAAAACAATTTTAAAAACATGTGAAGTTTAGTAAATTCCTAGTTCTTATAATGAAAATAAATAACACAAAAAATCACTTCTGGAAATTCAAAACTGACTTGCACTCGGAATATAAGTATCTGGATAATTTTCCAGATACATTCCAATTTGATGTTGTGTTGATTTGTCGAATCCAATTTCTTGCATTGCTGCACGATCAAGTGTTGATTGCTAGAAATTAGAATCAATAAGAAAGCATAACCACTAATGTCTGAACAGTTTTTTACATATCATATACCATGTGATGGACGTTGTCAAAGCCATTGTTTTCAAGAATTTCAGCTATTTCCATGGCCCTTGGATTAGGTATTCCAACACAAACATTCAACCATTCAGCCACAGCATTTACTCCCTGCTGAAATTAATAAAAGGCCTTGTGAAATGCTCCTAACTGAGCCATAACAGAAAAACATCTTACAGTACGAAACAATCAAAATGTTACGCGATATTTACTTGAAATTGCACTCTTTAAGTACTGTAATCACATATTTTTCGTGACCTTCTAGCACCAATGCACACACTTTCACTTTATTGGATCGGAATTGAAAATATTGCTTATTAAATATAAGAAATTCTAGTCATGATTAAAATTTATTATTTAACGACAAATAAATATTTAATGTGAATGATTTTACAAGCAAACGAACTAGTTGTCGATGTTTTTTATCACTCTCATATGGCCGCTTAATTTGTGTTGACTGTGATCCACTTAACTGAAGAGTCAAAGCTCGAGACCTGCGATCCCTGAGATAAATAGCTACTTTTGGTTCATACTGAGCTGCAAACACTGATTCTCGACAAACTGCGCCACCAAAAGACTCCATTATTTCATTGATCTGAGATCACAGTAGTAAGTCATGAAGTATTGGGTAGAAGGAAGTAAGAATTTGCACACTTCTATAAGAATTACATTTGCTAGTTGTTCTGCACAGTTACTAATGACTAAATTAAATTACTTAAAAAGTTATGCAATAAATACAGTACTCCTAGTATGATCTTGAAGATTAATTCTCGAATTCTTACTTTCTTCCATTCTATGCTTTCATCTAAAGAACTATGCCGGGTTGAAACTCTTCTGGCTTTTATGAAATGTGCTTGTGAATTATTTGTTTTTCCATGCTGTTCGTCATCACTTGCAGTTGATAATTCACACACTTCTAAATATGAGACAGTGAAATGAAAAACATTGAAGACCAAAACCGATTACTCAAGCCAAGAATTTCTATTTTCTACAATAGATTTACTGATTCGGAAAACAATTACATATCAGCCATTCTCTTGATCTAAGACAGTCGATCGTTCAATGAAAAGTGCCATTAATTCAGTAAAAATACGCAACGTCCATGCTATGTAAAAATTACTCATCTACTTAACGAACAACAGTATAAAACGTAAAAGATTCTTACAGACTAATCATTGCTCTATTTGAAATTTTGCAAGAAAACTGCCTCAAACTAGTCTTTTATCTACATAGAATGGTTTATTTTGGACAGAAATACAGTTTGCGGTTTGTTTCTAAACGTTAAATGATTTTGCACTGTATTCCGTTATTTAACAATTTTCAATAACTTTTCGCAGCACCCTCTGCCTCAAAGGAAATTAGGACGCAACAAACACTTTTCCACGACAAACTTCTTTCAAAATTCCGATTTGATGATTCAGTGAAATGCTTTCCCTTCATATTATTTTTATTTACAAATGTCCACCTTTGTTGACGCTACCATGTGTTGGAATAGAAGCAGTTCGTAATCGTACCTCCACAGAAGAAAACGACTGATCATCCACACTGAAAATGCTCAAACAACTGATATTTCAAAATTTATGAATACGAAAAGTTTTGACTCAAATGTATTTAACCTGGACTGCTTAAGAATCTGACTGCATTCCTGTGATGGAGATACCACTGATGGTGGTGTCCATGAAACATGCGATATTACAGGTAAAGAGCATGAAGATGCCAATGTACAATCTGATTCCGCTATAATTCAAACATGTTTAAAAAAATGAACTAATTACAAAATCATGTTCAATTAACAGCAAAAAATTAAACGAAAATGATGGAAACCTGTTGAAGATGGAGATAATGGATTTTTTTGTATATACTGAGACCTTTTACTTATGGTTGGAGATTGTGGTAAGTGCTCTTTAACACAGTCCTAAAAATTATTCACGTTTCATTTGAAAGGATGTGTATTGACAATAACAAGTCAAACTTCTGATATCCTACCTGGCTACAAAGAAAATGATGAATGCGTGACTCGGCAGTTTCAGGGCTTGGAAGATGATCAAGTTCAGATTTCCCATTTCCTTTCTCAGAGTCATTTTCGCTTTCAGCTGCTTTAATCTTCGGATCATTCGTTTTCGAGAGCTAAATTGATTTTGAGTAGTACAAAAAACTATATGATCATTGGGACAGTACTCTACATCTAATGAAACGATTACTTTCTGTGGAAAAGTAGCAGCATAAATTGTTGAGATGCAGTTTGGTTTAGAACTTTCGTCATGCGAGGAGCGTGAATGTTTTCTTCGTTTACCCTATAATATATAACTACATAAATGATTTAAATCCCAAAAATTAACTTTTCAATGCGACAAATTTTAAGTATTAATTTTGGCTCATAACTAAATAGAAACCCAGTTTCGATCTCAACTAATTTATGACTTGAATATGGTTGAACTGATAAAAGCATGTTACGTCTTCCATATGACATCTATCCGGGAAATTTTGTATTGACAATATGCTCGCCGACGCTGATACTGAAATCTCTTCTGGAAGTGCTAAGGGTGCGCGACCTTGAGCAAGAGAAGCTGTTCCAGATGGTAGAGTATTGCTGACATCTCCAGGAGATATTGCTGAAAGTCTACGAAAATACGAGATGGCATGATTATAACAATGTCTATGAACATATAAACCTTAGTATTTATAGCACTCTAAGTTCATTGCTAAATCACCTTTACTTAATTTTAGTACAATACTATTTTTTAAATGCTTCTGTAAAAAACGTCGTACAGCGCTCAAGAGTTGAAAAAGCAAAGGTCAGAACGGAAGTTTGACTTTCCGTTCGATATGAAGACGAACTCTGCGGGCTAATTTTATCATGGTAACCATCATCTTTCTCACTTATATCAGTCTCAGATATTTCGCTTTGTCGAAGATTTGGTTCTGGTTTGAAAGTTTTTTCTAATTGTGGTGAAAGATGATGAACTGATTTCACTAAAAAGAATATTTTGAATGAACGTGCAATTCAAATCGTGTTAATTATGCTCGAAAAAGCTTATCAAAATCATCGATGTTCTAATCATTTACCAGGTGACACGGTTTGCGTACCATTTGATTTGACATTACATGATGACACGGCAAAACTTTTTCCATCATTTCCACATCCACATTTTTTTAATGCTTTTTCTTCGCAAACATGCTGCCAACGTCGATGCCCTAAAAATAATTATTTTCAGATTAATATCAATAATTGCCAATAGCAGTAGCATATGCTGCTACCTGTCAAAACAACATCACTTCTTATTTTAAAAACTAAATTGCTACTGCCGAGAAAACTTCAAAGACTATTTAAAACCAAAGCACAGCAATTATGCATATTAACAGAGTTTCCATTCATTTAAAAAGTGCTTAAAATAAACAGAACAATCCAAGTTAGCGTAGATTACCAGGTGGTGGAGCATTGTCATACATAAGATAATTGCGTGGAACGTTATCATAAGCCAGAAAATATGGTGGATTTATTACACTATAACCTAGACCAACATGTGGATTTTGCCAAGCATCATATGAAGGAGGAGCTTGATAAGAGCATGACGTAATTGCATCTAGAAAATAATTTTTAGTGGACTTGAAACGTCACATGCTTTTTTTAAAGAAATCAACCACATGAACTTTAACTAATCAGTACTTTAAATCAATATAACCAATAAATGGCCTTACCTTTTTAAGGTTAAAAAAATTAATATATTACATAAATTTTGAAAATAACTAAATTCAACAATGACTATAAGCTTTATTGCAGTGTTTAACGATGTAACACTACTTCAACCTGAATTTAAAGATGTGCGACCAATTCCCATCCTAGGTAAAGGGATTCCATTTTTCTGAGCTGCATACCGATACTTAGTTCCTGATGATCCAACTGAGATCCGAGAAACACCATTTTCCACACCAAAACCTCGAACTTGGCTAGGAGATGAATGTGGACTGAAAAGTATCAATAACTGTCATGGAGTAGTAAAGTTTGTGAAAAATGTGAAAAAATACATGAAATTGAGCGTTAAATTACTTCATGAAAACAGGTCATACCCTAACTGAGAATCAGATGGTTCCAAAAGAGATGTTGACAAACTTAATGCCGAAAAGTCATCAATATTTTGCGCGTCACCAAGTAATGTAACCTTATTATCCTGTAAGAATAAAATTAAGGCTTTTCCATCTCATGAATGAAGTAGGGAAACGGATGTTTAAAATAAATACCGCAGTTGATGGCGGATGCAGCGTATCACTGTCTGAAACAGCATCATCCCCAGGTACTAGAAGATTTTGATGCACACGAGGCCGAAATACTTGATGCCGAGCTAAAACACAAACCTTAAAAAAATTGAACTGAAAGCAAGAGAAATTTTTATATATGTTAAATACCTGTAGAGTTCTCTGGTATTGGCCTCCACACAATATCTTTTGGATTGACAGCATATTTTGTACAGTGGGAGAGATTTAAATAAACTGGATAGTTTTCTGCGCCAACTTTCCCATGTGTAGACTCTTTTTGTTCGCGAACGTAGGCTTAATATTTTTATCAGTGAATTAGACAATATATAAAACAAAAAAACTTTAGAGACCATTTTCAAAACCTTCAATAAGTTTGCGGCATTCTGACCATCCTTCCCGACTTTGAATAACTTGCGTAAGATCAGATGCTTTCTCGTTTTCATGTTCTGCTAAGGTCTCTAAAACAGTGCGCCCTTGTCCATCTCTGATATCAACATTTATACCTGAAAACATGCAAATATAGAATAAAACATACACTGACTGAAACATCTTAGCTATTACGCTTTGATGATCGTCATGATATAAAAACAATTCTTGATTAATATAAACAAGTGAGCAAGAACAACTAACCTTCTTGAAGTAGCAATTTAACCGCTTCAACTTTTCCAAATAAAGCAGCGACATGCAACGCACTTCCTTCCTCCGTAACGTAGTTAAGATCAAATCCGGAATTACATAGTATTTCGAGACAATCAAGATGGCCGTGACGAGCTGCCGCATGTAATGGATATACTACTTGAGCTAGATGTCGGGACTTTCCTAGATCTGTTGTCACGCATTCCGAAGCACTCTAAATTAAACCTTACATAAGTTTAGGAGTGCTTCGGCCTCAATTGCACTGAAATCACATAATTAAATCTAACTTGTAGCGCTAATTCCGGACAATTACAAATAATCAAGCGGCAGACATTTGCTTTTCCAAACCTAGCAGCTACATCGAGAGCTGTTTCAGCACGAGCATTCCTCATTCTAGCGTCTGCATGCTTCTACAAATTATTTTTGTGACGTAAATTTCGTTTATTTTTGTTCTTTACAAAACAAGACAAATTATATGAACAGTTATAAAGTTATAATAGCATATAATTTGTCGAGCATACGGTACTGCAAATTTCTGTAGAAATAAAATAAGAATAAACAGATGCATACAGCAAGCAAGACGGAGACGACTTTGCCGTGACCATGTTGCGCGGAAAGATGTAATGGTGATTCCTTTGCGCTGTTTACTGCATCAACAGTATTTGGTTCAGCATCAATTAGAGCCTAGAATCGATAATACTTATAGCAGCATCTTACAAATTAGGATGTACTGTATTTCTAAATTATTGTCAACATCTTCATCACCTGTAATACTTCAACATGGCCATTCCATGCCGCAAGATGAATAGCCAAACATCCCCGTCGATCTTTTATTCGTAGCATTTGCGAATCAACATTTAGCAAAATCTTCACTATCTTGAAAATTCAGACTTTGAGCTGATAGAGTTTGAAAATACTGAATGAAGACAAAATAAAATTTTAATAAAACCTCCGTATGACCCAAAAGAGCAGCTAGATGAAGCACCGTGTAACCATTAGAGGGGTCGACAATGGAACAAAGCCATGCTGAATTGGAGGATGTCGAAGCACGTAAAAAGCTGTAAAACATGGAAAAAGTAGCTGCTGTCCCGAAGATATTCATTTTATAAATTAAAATTAATTTTCATTAAAATTCATGCAAAAAAGCGCCTTTGACCTACTTGATCCTTAAATTTCAAAATATTAAAAACAGAAAAATTTTTTCTAACTTTAATGGCGTACGCGGTCGCTTATTACGCCTACTCAGCAGCCAGGTTTGTACTTTCTGCAAATCACCTCGTCTTACTGATTCGAAAAGTTCCTATGGAAAACAAAGGGTTATTATGCAATACGAACTGTGAGACCGATTTACATTGAATAACTTCAGAACAAGTTACACAAAATCATTTTTACAATTCATAATACTAGATTTTAAATACTAAAAAAATGAACTCCTACTTGGTTTTCAATATAAAAAACTTGCTTGCTGTAAAGAATTGAGCTCTTTAGGTCCCATTTTTACATTTTGATAAAATTTCCTAAAATAGAGATTCTTTAAATTTTATATTTATTAGTACTGACAAAGTAATTTTAATATATGCAAGATGATATTAATAGTTTGAACAAATTCTTCAATATTTAGAAAAAAATAACATAAGTGGATTAGCATCCAATTTAAAAATAGCACGCACATTCAGCACCTTGGATCGACTACCCACTCATCTCTGTTGCTAAATAGCCGCGGGGTAATACTCCGACTTTTTCGAAAAATAATTATTCCACTGAATTTTCACCACTTCCATCACATCATTCTCTTTAAAGTTTAGCCATTAATTGGATTATTTTGATAATCTTATCATTCTAAGCAATCGGAAAAATAAGCAGCAGCTAATAACAATGCTTACTATAGCTTCATAATTTTTCTTTCACTCTGGACAATTATAAATTACTCAACAAAATGATATCAATTTTAAAATTATTATTGTCGTGAAAAAATAGCAAATTATTTTAAATTTTTATTTCAAATTTAGCTATGCAGTTGAAAATTTAGGAAGAAAAACATTCTCAAGAATCAATAAGTAATCGAGAATTAGCAAAACTCTGAGTAAGACAAAAATCTAGTATTGTAGATTCATCAACTTTAGAAATCGAGAAAAAATATGAAGCTTTTAAGCTTGGTACGCTAATTGAAATAAAAGTGTAGGAAGAGTGAAAAAATTACACTAATGATCATCAGTGGCAAATAATTAGTGACTCATTCCATTTCAGTTCTTTTCATTAATTTTCAAAAACTATCTAACAATTTTTAATTACATTTCGATAATTCAAGAGAAAAATAATTATTTGGTTACAGAGTAGGAGAGAACATTTTAGTATACTTGGAGAGCGTGTGAATAAGGGAAAAACATTTTCGAAAGAGTACATCTTCATAACAATTACACCAGTGCTCTAAAAACAGCGAATGATAAATGCCTGAATGGAAAAGGTAAGAAACGAAGTGATTTTCACTTTAGCTAAAAAAAGGGAAATTTGAATGCAATATAATTTATGCAGAACAGGAAAAAAAATTTCTGAATAAAAATCAAACAAACAGCTTATAAATTTGTTTTCCAAATAATATACAATAACACATATAAGGTAATTTTAGATAAAAAAATACTATATGTTGTAAGTATTGAAGAAGGAATTCTTTTCATAAATGTCATAAAAGCAATTTTAAGAAGCATGAGAACTCACAAACATCAGAGTGATGAATATTTTAGTGAGATATAAACTAGTAATATTTTTAAGTACAGAAAATCACAGGAAACTTTGAAAAGATAGCACTAAGCTGGAACAATTATTGAAAGCAAGTGAGAAATGAGTCACTTCTAGTACTGTTCAAAATTCAAGGATGTGCTTGAAAGAGGATGATTAAAATCGTAACAATAACACTAATGATCATTGTCACAGCTCTAATTTCAATAAGTACGAGTATTTTCTAACACACCATCACAGAAACATATATTTCCCCAAAAAAATCGTTAGCTGCTAAACGAAAATAAAACGTAGTAGCATTATTTAAGATAGCAATAATGATACACAGAAATAATATTATTATGCCATTGGTTAAAGACAATATTGAAGAAGTGATGCTTCAAGAATTTACTAACCAACACCTTAAACATGAACGCTACTTTGGCAAATTTTGGACATCAATAACAATAAAATACTCAAAAAATACAGAGAATAAGAAATACTTCAGCTGGTTTCAAAAACTCTTTACATTCAGTGACTAATTTTATATGAAACTTGCTAAAATATTGACATTTTATGACTAAGAATTTATTTACTGCCCGTCGTAGTAAGAATACACTACCTCATACATTTGCACGAATGAAATAATTAGCGCAAAAAAGCACTGAGCACGCGAACTGTATAAGCATGCTTTCATATTCGATATAAATAAAACTAATTCGATTTTATTCAAAAAATTGATAATGAAAATTAAATATTTTAATTAGAGCCGATTTCAGAAATTTGTAATAAAAATTTTCAAAACGAATATCAATCGATGTAAGAATGTTGCACAAAGGTAACAACTGTCTGTAAGAGTTGTGTAAAAATGTATGTATGGGTGCATTTGAAAAGTTGTGCACTAGATTGCTCTAAGATGATTTAGGTAGACTAAGTAATGGACAGGTTATCATCTTGTAATGTGTGAACTGCGGTATAGTTATCAGTAACCTGTTTTATCCCTTCCTATCAAATGACTCTAATTCAAATGAGAAGCAGGTAGTGTAATTAATATATGTAAGCTGCTTATTGAAGCAGTCAAACAAATTGCGTGTCTTCGAAGCCTTCACGAGAGTGACTAAGAGAGAAATGAAATGGATGGCAGAAAGCTGTATACAAATTTGCAATAGAGCAAAAAAAACTGATGAAAAAGAGAAATGATAAAGTAAAATGAAGAGCAGTGCAATGGAATGAACAATCATTTCACTCCTCTACTCCTCTGTAGTGGATGGGAAAGTGCCGTAAACTTCATTCACTTTCCTCGCTGATGGAGCAGTTTGTTAAATTGACTGGCACCTCTCAATTGTTGCCAATTAATTAGACTATAGTGAATGACACTAAGTGACAGCGTAGAAATTTTACAGTTTGGTTTGCCACGGTTGACATTTACCAATATAGTTTAATGAGTAAGGATGATGCATAATATGAGTAGCTACTAGGATTCAACAATATAGCAGTAGTCTGCCTTATCTATTTTCTATATATAATATAGGAATAGGCGAAAAAGCATAATAAACTTCTAACATTTGCTGTCCTTTTGACTTTTAAGAGGGATAGGCTTGCTTTAATGTGTGCTGTATGCAAGATGTCATATTACTCAAGTGATCTACTGTTCATCCATTTTTTTTAACATAGGCTTACATTTTCTAACTTCTTTAACATCTGTACTTTACGAAAAAAAGCTATCCTCCTGAGAAACTGAAGCGCTTACTTTTAAGTTTGACAAACGATGAAAAGAGCAACTGGAGTGGCTTGTTATAGGGCCCAAGAGAGAATAAAAACAACAAGCATTCTTCAAGATTACGTAAGGTTAAGACTTATAAGACTGCTTTTGTAGATGAAAAAAAGGAACTAAATGTTTTCCTCTTTAATGCTGATGATCCGTGCAAGGTACTGGTACTACTGGAGAACCACCATTAACAATGTACTGAGAGATGGACCAAAAGTGTAATGATCAAGCAAAATTTGTTTTAGGCAAGTAAATTCTATCAAGTGAAAAAAATTCACAATTCAGGCAATTCTTAGTTATTGATTGATGGTGGAGAACTTATTGTAGTGTAAAGTTTTAGAAGGAAGCTATTCTGAAATATAAAAGTGAAATGAAAATGACAGAGTACTTACATGTTTGGCTATTCGATAGCCATTGGATTTTACGGAAAGAGTCAGAAAAATAATTCAGCTTGGATATAAAACACATGCATCTTTAATGTGGATACAAACAACCTTTGAAATTAATACTTGGCAGCTAGAAAGTAAATGCAATATGAAAGTGGAAAAGGAAGCTCTTTGTTATCCAACTGCAGCAAATTCCCAGAGCACATTAGTTATGTAAAAAGCACTGGAAATCTCTCATCATTTTTTCCTTAATTTCTTTCATCAACCTTGTTTATCGTGAGAAAACACATTCCTAGCTGGAATAAATCGCTTTATGTCCAACTCTTGAAAGGAACTTCACAATCACCTACTCTAATTGAAATATACTCATGTAAATTATCAAAAATTGGCTTTTCATTCATGACCTTAGTTTTATTATTATCGAATTAACTTTTCATTTTTATTTCTATTTATTCCTAAAATATAATTTTGATTGAAAGATCAACAAATGTCAGTCATTTGAAATTAGATTGAAATCCACAATTTTTTTCAGATTCTTTAATTCCTGTGCACCTATTTTCGGAACACTAAAGGTCATAAATCTGAGAAGTATAGAAATATTCAGTAGAAGATTTTTGCTGGTTAAACAAATCATCTAATTTGAAAGAAAGTACAGGCATTCATAAAATATTCTGCTAATATGACTTGTGAATACTAGAATATTTATCGATCTTCTCAATCTAAAAGGTCCAACCTGAGAAGTGAGGATTTTTTTTATCGTTCTATCATGTTAATACTTTTAAAGGGACATCAAAATATGACCCAATTTTAAACTAAACTAAATTAACTAGATTGGAAAAAGAAGCGAACAATAAGGAAGACGAATCAGACATACAAGCGCAGCTGTTTCTGCAGTTTTTTTGCTCTTAACCTAGACCCTAACTTTTGTTTTCTGCACTTAAATTTATTCATCATAAAAAAAATCACCAATGATTACTTTCATACGTAGACGGATACCTATTTACCACTGCACATTGAATGCTTAAGTATGTTGCTTGCTTATTGACAGAATCCAATCTTCAGCAGGTCTTCAAAATTTTGAAATTCTATTTATAACTCCTGATTCATCAAATAAAGGTCCTCGTACCTTGTTCACTACTATACTAAATGTAGAATATTTAGTAATTCATTTTATTGAACTAGGCTATCAGGTAATCAGATCAAAAATTTGAATACCCGCTAGTTTCTTTATCT